TCATTCATAACAGCCCGTTTAAGAACATCCTGTGTTTGTTCATTCAACTGACGCCACCGTTCAGCCAGTTTTCTGCTTCAGTTCTGATCCACCACACTCTAGAGACCTGGAGATGTTTAACTGTCTTTCATTTTAATAAATAATTAAATGATTAAATGTAAAAATTTATTTTAAAATGTTATTAATAAAAATTAATAAATAACATGCTATCCTGATATCTTGTTTCACACATTCAGTTGGTAATTTTTGTTTCACTAGTTTGGGCTTCCTGACAGGGTTGCGGAAGGCGCTTTATAAATAAAGCTTTGACTGATTGATTGATTGATTGATTAAGGCAGGATTTCCCAACCCTGGTCCTCAGCGGCCCCTATTTTCAATGTCTCTGCTTCAGCACACCTGATTTACATATTTGAATAGCCCCCTCAGAAGGACATCAAGTGCTGCAGAAGCTTGTTAATCAGTCATTAATTTAAGTCAGGTGTGTGGTAGTGGAGAAACACTAGGGTGTTTCTCAATGTCAAGGTGTCTGGCCCTGCAAGGCGATGTCTTAAGAAGCCAGGCGCCTTGCTTACGAGGACACTGTCCTTCCTTGGTCAAAGAAAACGGATGAATGGAACAGACTTGCATGATGTGACCATGGCTTCTGTGGCGGTCACGTAACGTCACGTGACACGGGTGGTAACGTTATATTGTACACGTGTAAGTTTCAAAATAAATATATGACGAGGCTTTTACTTTTTAAATTGTGTATATGTTTGTTAAATTAAACATGTGAGTGAGTTACTACCGGCTAGCCACCGAAGCTGCAACTACTAAACAACTAACCAACCATAGATAACTTCTTTGGATCTAAAAAAAACATTTCAGATATCAGCTCGATAGACACAATTAGTTGACTTCCATTTAAACTTGAAATTTGCCCCCGAAGTAGCTGCCGGCTTCTGATCTGCCATCCTTTTGAAAATACCAGGGTGTATTCTGGGAAATTTATGACCAAGGCTAGGCTACAAGACATCTACCGTGTATTCTTGCTCAGCTGGCTAAACGGTTAACAAACGGAGAACGCACGCCTCGGAAGAACATGAACATTGGAACACGCCTTGGCGGTTCGTTCCTGATGACGTATCTCCTAGGCATCCGGAGCAGGACCAAGACATCAAGGCAAGGTTCCTTGGCGCTGAGAAACACCCTTAGTGTTTGAAAGGGCAACATGGAAAACATGTAGGACAGGGGTGGGGAGCTGAGGACCAGGGATGAGAAACCCTGGTTTAAGGTATTAATAAAAGCTGCAGTTGCAAAAATAGTTATTCATTGTGAATCTCTCCTGGAAATCATTAAAAGCTGTAACTTGATTGTTTGATGACTGACTGATGATGATAGATGCATCTGGAAAGCAAATTCCATTTAAGAAATGAAAATAGTTTAAAAACATTTTAAATATATCAGTAGAATTTAAGTCAGCTGGTAAAATCAAACACTTTTTAAAGCCAGTCAGAAACTCTAGCGTTGCTTTCTTTATAATAATAATAATAATAATAATAATAATAATAATAATAATAATAATAATAATTATTATTATTATTATTATTATTATTATTATTATTCACCAATTAAGAGAAATCGTCTCATGGTGTTATTTATGCGAGTCCACTTAGGAGAGATGGTTTCTCCCCAGATAAAACTCGTGCTTTCCCTAAGATGGATTCACTTGTGATTGTGATCCATAAATCTCATGAGGATCCAGCTGCCTGTCACAGAGAGGATTTCTGTGTAATGAACAGAAACCCCTGGTGGCCACAGACTGATTTCTCATTTCATCCCGTCTCTAACCACCGACACACACCTGACCCTTTCTGACACTGTCCATCACCGCTCTAAGTCTCCTCCTTTAATGAAATCAGCCTGTCCACAACAGAAGGACACAAACCCGTTTTAAATGACAATATGTCGTTTATTTTCTATATTTTCAAGGTTTAGTATTTACAAACAAAAATAAACAAAAGAAAATAATAAAACAAAAAAAAGGAGTTTTTTTGACAAACACCGTTTGTCTGCATATTGTTGTAAGAAAGTTTACATTTATCTTCTTTCCTCCATGTTAAGTAACCAGCTGACAGTATGTCTTCTCTAGGCCTTGGATTACATGAATAAGCTGAACAGTGACCGTGCAAACGTGGGCTTCAGGAGAAACCAAGCGCCCGGTCGACGCTGCTGCCCCTCGTCCCGCTGAGCACATCATCAGTAAACATATAAAACCTGTGATCATCACAACCAAATACACATTTGGTTTGTCCCAGAAGAACATCGTCTGTTCTTTTTGCATCTTGTCTCCCCCCCAAACACAAAAAAGGAGAAAGAAATATACCGTAGAAATATATGTGCTGGTTTGTTGACAGTCCCTAAACTGCTAAGATGTAAGCTTGATATTTAGTTATACATCACCAATAATGCCCGTTCCTGTATGCTAGTTGGTTGGTTTTGTGAGGAAAAATAAAAGCACATAGTTGGGAAGCTCTCCCTCCAAAGGCAAGTATCAAAAACAGCACAAACCAACAGTGCTGCATTCCATCTTGACTGTATACTAGTTCCTATACATAAACTATGGCATGTTCACAATTAAGCGCTTTTTGTTGCAAACAGAACCCCCCCACCCCCTCATTTAGAAACTCATATAGATCAGGGCAGCGCAAATATGTAGGGATATTGCTCCCTTTCTTTCTCATCCAACGCCTAACTGAGTAGAAAGCATCTCCTTCTCATTCAGAAAGTGCAAATTTCAAACAAAGACAATGACTGAATGTTTTGCTTTGGCCAGTTTCTTCTTACACATCAGTATTCGTCTAACGCCAGCGACTAGCTACAACAAAAGGTATAAAGATGCTCCAAATTTGTACAACGTCTCAAGTCTGTGATATCACCGCAAGCCTAAATATTGCACTTTTTTTTAACTGTACACAACCTCCTGACATATTTATAGCTTGACTGAGAGTTAGGACAAAAAGAAAATAAAAAGGAACTAACAGCTCCAAGCAGTTTACATTGTGAGTAAAGATACCAGCAGGATCAACAGAGACATTTGGCCTTCCTCATCATCATCCATCGTTATCGTTAACAGTCCTCTCTCATCTAAAACACTGAGACATAGAACACACAGAGTATAGTAAGGATGAGGTTGTGTGCAGAAGTGATGCTTGCGTGCACCAAGCTCACACGCGTAACAAAAAATCGAAACATGGCGATAGTTTTAGGCACAAATACTCCAGACTGTTAATGTAAAAAGTCAATGTTTCTGTTCACGCACAGATAACATCTAGGCAGAGAGCGAGACAATGAACAAAATAGAACTTTAACGTTACATTTAACGCCAACAGTTTTGAGATAGTGTCTATTTTTAAGCATCATGTGACAACGCATGCGTTCATGACAGTGGTGGGTTGACTGCATTAGTAAGCTTAACGACACAATCTGTGGTGACGACTTTTAAAAAACGAATCTGAGGGCTTAGTCACTGTGAACTGATGGGATATTTGGTGTCATGAAAACTGCAGCTGCAAATAGAAGTTCTGCAGGGGTGAGAAATTGTCACGTTTGGTTAAAATGACTGCAGTAAGGCCTTGAGCACAATAAACAACCTATACTGTACATGCATGCACTCCAAAAATGAAATGCTGAATTTACTCAACCAAGTTATAGTTATTTATTGTTAGTTCTGCTAAACCCAATTCCTTAAATTTAAAGACGTATATACATAATGTTACATTTAAGTAACTAGGTTTAGTGGAACCAGTGGACATAAGTTGAGTAAATCCAGCATTCATTAGAGAACCGGTGTGCCAGCTTAGGTTACGTGATATTTGAAGATTCAAGTCAATACCATGTCTCTGATCTCTTTTTTTAAGGAAGTCTGATCCTTGCTTTAATGTTCAGGTCAGTTTAGAGTACCTAAGCCCAAAATATGGATTTACACAAGACAAAAACCTTCATGCAAACCAGCATTTTTCTTTTAGTAGCAGCACAAACACACTGCTTGACGAACTTGTTCCCTCTTCTTCAGTGGTAAAAGTCCAACATTATGCCCCCTTAACACATTTTTCCTGAGGTGTTAATAAAATGTTTATGATATGTTTTGTTCAAAAGCAACAAGACTTTTAGTGGCAGATTTAAAGGGGCATACTGAGACACTGGACTCCACTCCTACAAGCATTTTACCCGCAAAAGATGGTTGTTTACACACTAATTATCCCAAAGCTTGAAGGAAGCGTTCGGGATCCATTTCAGCACACGCAGCAAATCGAGCTCACACAAACACACACACGCACGCACGCACGCACGCACGCACGCACGCACACACACACACACACACACACACACACACACACACACACACACACACACACACACACACACCTGTAGTTCAGTCATAATTAGTTATTAATGATCATATTTAGGCTGTCTCTGAAGTCGAGTCTCCAGCTGGCCTAGGTTATTTCCACATTGCAGAGACCTTAATCCCAGTTCCATTACCTTCTGTTACTGTTAGAGGATTTTTTTCTTACATAATAGAATAAAATGTAATACTTTTCTGTCATTGCAATTAAAGCAGAAATCCGGGGTTTTGCCTTTTTTAGGAATCATGTATGATATATATATATTTTTTTTTTGTGATAATCTGACCCTGTTCTGTGATTTAATGTGGGCAATAAATCAGTTTTTTTTTCCAATGCCTGCCCCAATCGCACTTTGATTGTAGAGAGACCGTAGGTGGGCTTGGCACCATTACGGCAGAACTGGCTCAGCTCTCTTTTCACCACATCAGACTGGTACAACACCCCACCCTAACCCTAACCACCACTACAGACACAGCATAAATCTGCCTGTCCATCTTTCCTTCAATAATGAACAAGACCTTGAGATACTTGAACACCTCCACTTGAGGCAGGACCTCATGCTCGTCAAACCCCCCACCCACCCCCACCCCCACCCCCTCCCAATCTATGCTGGACCAACATCTCAAAGCCGTACGGAAATCTTTCTCGAAGGCAAAACCCTGCCACACTTGGGTTTTTGCCTCCAAGCAGCATTCTGCTTGGACTACCAGTACCGCTAAGCTGCCTCTCGAGTCCCACAGGCCAAAAGGACCCAATAGGACCCCTTCTATAGCTTGACAGCGTCTTTAACTACCGGTGCCCACCAGTAGGTTTGCCGCCACGACAGACACTGACCACTCTGATGTCACAGCGCCGGTCAGCCATCTCGACAAAGGGTCACCAAACATGGCCCACTCAGACTCAGTCTAATCTAACCCTAACCCAAAAAACTACCATGGTTTCTTTGCCTTTGCAAAGTGAGAGTTGTGGGTTTTGCTTTAATATATTTTTAAACTATTCATTCAGCCTTTGAGCTACAGTGACCTCACAGTAGAGCTTTAGATAAAGTCCAGCTGAGTAAACAGAGGATTTACAATTTGTAAAAACGTGTATGATCCTTGTTTGTTTTAGGAAGTAAGACGATGAAAATATCAAATTTACTTTGAATATACTTTCTAAAACAAATTGAGGCATACATGTAAAATAGTGTAGCCGTGGGTTCTGCTTTTGCCAAATTAGGATCCACACCAGAAAAAGGCATAAAGCATCCAGCCACAGAGAAGAGAGGGAACCATGAGCATCCTTCAAGCAGGGTTTTCTCACCATCAAACACTGCCAGCTACTGCATGAAGGTCTGTTCGTCTCCTATGAAACATACATGTTTTGTCACTTATCCTTGCGCGATGATAGAAGTAAGACATTGTTATGATAGAGAAAGCACAACACAGTATCTGTAAAGTCTAGATCTACAAAACTATTTACAGCACACATATAGGTAATTGTTATGTCACAGTCTATTGCATAATGGTGATAATCTTTAGTTTATAAATATTATAAATATACACACATTTTTTAAGCAACATTACTTAACATTTCAGCCATCTGAAAAAAAAAGAAATAGAAAAACAAAACAGCATCCATCCATAGACATGTCCACACTCAGCTTCCTCAGAACACGACGAATAAAAAGCAGCATTTCAAGAACCGATTTCCCTTTGGACCCATAACACTGTTGTGGTAAGAATGAGCCTCTGTGGGGACAGAGAGGCTCAACAGACTGTATTCTTATTGCCGAGAGCAACGTAATACTTGGTTACAGTGTTTGTGTGGATTACCAAAACAAGGTTTCAGTAAATTATGAGAATAATTTCATGAATATGTGCTTTTTGAATTTCTGCGTCAGTTATTTGCATTTATGATTCCACAGTGATGCCTAAAGCTGCTTGATAGGAGAAGACAGTTTTCCTTCTTCGTCAAATTTAACAAAACAAACACACACAAAAAAAAACCCGACACAAAAACACATTGCATTCCAGTAAAAAATAAAGCAAAGCAAGAAAACAAACAAACAAACAAGAAATTTGAATAAAAAACCCTCCATACATGATATATAGTTCCTTAAATTTCTCTGACAGGAAGACTCATTTTTATACTACAGCTTTAAATAGCCATTTCCAATATTGTAGTTGAATTTTACACACCTTTTCACTTTCATGCACACACTCACACACGCACACACCCTCTCACAAATCCATTTAATGTATTTGTATAATATACATTCTTAAGTTTAGGGAGACGAAATTGTCTAAAATATAATACAAGGTCTTATTTACAAGATTTCTGTGAGGTTACGCTTGAGGAAAATGGGAGAAGAAAAATAGCAGAAATTCCCCTTTTTGCCTCTTTTGTTCTAACTGCATCTTAAAAATGAATTAAAACACGTTAAACTTAAAAAAGAAAAAGAAAAGCATGGGCAGGGAAACATGCAGGGATCATAAATTTGAAGCAAAACGCATTTTGTCTTGCTCAGTCTCTGCACTGCTGAGAACAGAATCTCTCCTAGATCCGGGGGGTTCCCTGTGCTGGGTGGAGGATGATGATGATGCCGCCGCTGCTGCTGCCGCCGCCGCCGCTGCCGCAGATGCAGCCGAGCGCACAGGGGGCAGGGCTCCAGACGACATCTGGCGGAACAAATTGACCCGTTGCGGCACTGTAGTGCGAATGCCACTTTGTAGACTTATTCCCTGGATGGCTGCTGCTGTCGGTGGCACAATGGAGGCCAGAGAGTCTCCTGAGGCTGGATGAGCTCTGGGCCCCAGGGATGTGTCATGTGGCAGTGACGGTTGGGATGCCGAAAGGTGTCGGATGTCTCGACTCAAGCTGCCCGACTGTAGGGCCTGTGTGCTCTTGTGGATGTCTCCCCGTTGAGGTGAAGGAACCTGCTGCTGCTGCCCTGCTGAAGAGGCTGCAGCAGCAGCAGCTGACGCAGCCGGCTGCTGACCGAGCTGTTGCTGCGTGGGTAGAGACGATTGGCCGATGGGTTGCTGGATTAGCGACAGCTGAGACGCTGTGGGTGAGCCGTACTGGAAGCTCCGACTGGCCAAAGGGGTCTGAACAGGCGGGCTACACATGGCAGCTGTGAAGGAGCAGGGGGACATGATCGCTCCCTGCTGCTGCAGCGGGGTCTGTGAAGATGAATTCAGGCTACCGTGGGAAATGCTGGGAGCTGGGTAGCCGCCCTGCGCTACAGCGACTGGCAGCATGCGTGCAACAGAGGCATTGGCAATAGCCGAAGCACTATAGGTCATGGGTACAGAAGACTGCTGCAGCTGAGTGATGCCAAAGGCCGTGGAGTATGGTGGCTGAGCTGGTGAGTTAATGATGGAGTTTCCTGACACTGGTGTTGAGTTCATCCCAGTGACCGACTGCTTGCGATCCACCATCATCACCATCTCCCTGTCCTGACGGATAATCTGCTTCAATATCTCGTTCTCCTGCGTGTTGAAAACGCCGGCGTTCAGATCCTTCTGGAACTTCTGCAGCAGCAATGAGTTCTTCTTCCCTGTCGGGGCGCAATGAGAACAGTGAGCACAAGTGATAGTGGTGAACTTTGGAAACAAAAGAAATGGCTGAACAAAGACGCAGCGTGTATGTTTAAACAGGATCGTTTTTAGTGTTTTCACATCAAATCTTGAAAATATTGATTCAGTCGTACATGCTGCGTCTTTGTAAACCCATCAAGAGATGTTTTAAATAGATAAAAAAAGGACATTGGATGGTGATGACTAAGAGATATGAAGTTTGAGACTAACAAGGACACAGGAGTGAAGGTGTGACATGACAGCATCGACTATGATGTCAAAACACAGACAAGTACTGATGGATTGTACCCACACATCACAATACTGGTCATTGTTTTAAAGACAAAGTAAAAGACAGAAACTCTAAGCTCTGAAATAACCTAAAACTTTTACTAGGACACATTACAAGGGCTTCTAAAATCTATATACAATAAGAGAGGGCCATTTTACTTGTACTGTTAATTTTTGGCTTTTTATTGTGGAGAAAACTATTCATTAATTGAAATATTTAGTATGTAAATGAAGGCTTTTCATTATTCTGTTTATTTGACGCAGTAAAAAAACAACATTTCTGTTGCGTTCCACAGAGAACATTTTGTACTTAAGAGAGAGTGTTTCCCAGCCTGTCAGAAAGCAAGGCCGCAGTGTGACAGATGGCTTCCTAAACACCAAACGCTTTCGTGGCTTTGGGAGTAAAACTGTGTTAATATACCAAAAGGCATTACTGTCTTATATTTTAGAACAATCATTGCCACACTTCACAGTAAAGAGGTACTTAGCGACCCCATCCGGCTGTCGTTAGAGGACGTGCCTCCTGTAATTACTGCTGCCCTTGTGTATTGACAAGCCACGGAGCGTTGTCGGTAAAGAAGACAGAATAGACTTTCCGTGTGCTGAAGGCTTTAGCCACAGTCAATCAATCTTTAAGCCTCGTCCTTGAGAGGAGAAAATTTCTCCTCGCAGCTTACAATTCTGCAGCGTTTGAATCTGTCAAGGCTCCCGGGCGGGAAGCCATGATGAATCCAATTATCAGAGAATAACTCCTAAAAAATAGATTTATGTCAAGTTTAGCATTCTTTTTGTGTATCTAATCTAATACAACAATCACTACAGGGTTGGTTGTTAAAGAGCTAAAACAAGCACAGACCAAACTAGTGAAAACTTACAAGCTGCTTACATTGCAATGTTAAAGGTGAAAGGATCAAACACTGCAGATTGGAATAAAACACATTTATTTTTAAACAAAACTGTCAATAAAGTGTGTTGGGTTGACAGAGTAGTCCAGACTTAGAGCTAGAGTAAATAGAAGCTGTTTTAATCTGCTTTTAAAAAAAAAAGAAAAAAAGAACCATAATGTGTACAGATGTTAACATTCTATAAACACTATATTTTTATTATAATTCATCAAGTATGTTTAATCCTGTACTTAATGTCTTCTTCCTTACTAAAAAAACCCTCACAATACATCAATGAATTAGTATGACTTCATAAGGTCAATAATGACCATTGCCAAGGCAACAAAAGTAAAATCTATTATTTTGTATTCAAAAAACAAATAAACATTAAATAGATAAAGTGCCATATACTTAAATGTAAAGCATGAAATGCCTAAAGTTAGTTCATTATCCCTGAAAATAGAGCAAATATCTATAGGCAGAGTTTTGGAAAAAAAGAAAAAAATACTTTAGAAACTCAGTAGACGTTTGGTTTTTCCTCTAAAATGTCAAACAAACAAAAAAAGTGTTGATTTTGAAAATAGTCACTTTATTATAATTAGAAACTTTAAATTAAGTATACAGTTAAGTCTATATGTTCTATTGAATAATAAGATTAGCTAATAACAAAGAAGACAACGTTTGTGGTAGTTTTAGAATAATACATCTAAAAGCTCAAAGAACGTAATCCCTGCGTCTCCCGTAAACTCTTCTCCTGCTGCCATTCCAGATACAGTTGTGTTATTTTACTGGTTGTGACACCTACTGTTTATGGAAGGTACTGCATGAGGCTTCATGCCTTTTTATGTAATTGAAAAATCAGTGCCATGCACAAAGTGATTTCTTAATGCATTATGTTTTTTAAAACAAGATCAATGGTTTAATGTGGCTTTAACGACATAATTCCTATGTATTACCAATCTACCAACACATTGCTGGCTATTGTTACCCATACAACCAATAGAGCAGGAGCCATCAGAAGCTAAGAAGGAAGTTGAAACATAAAAGGGAGTCTGTTCTTATTGTGATGAAGATGATAGGACACTATGAGCAGAACCACATCTGACTGGAGTCTGTGGAGATTTTTTTGCGCTGCCATGAATGCTGCAAATAACATTTTTGCATCAGATCTCTATAGTGCTGAAGTGCTGGTATGAGAGAACTGCATGTAATGTCAAGGTTGCATGTCCATCATGCTGCTGCAAGATGTGTTTCAACGACATAAGAAGATTTATTTATTTCATATTTAGTCTTTCAAAATTATGTTGCGGTAAAAACTCTTAAATTGCCCAAAAAATCATTCAGTAATAAGTGAACGTCTCTTGCGTTTCAAGGTAAATGGTTGAACTATAACTTATATGACTTTTAGAAGGTGTGCATCAAAAATACTGTAAGTATATCAAAATGTAATGACCACTCAGCCTTAAGCAACTAGGGATCCTAACTCTCCTCCCTTTCTGGTGTGCTCATGGGTCTCCGGAAGAACGAAAAAAATGAATGCAAGTCAACGGGGCTAAAAGAGGTATTTTCTAATCAGTTTTGCCTTACGCCCTGGATCGCACATATGTTGTACTGTTATTTAAATGAAAAGTAATGATAGGTGTTTCGACCACGCCAGTCACGTACTTTGAGATTTATTAGATTGTAAAGGTTCGTAATTAGCATACACACCAGAAATCAGCACATTGCATATGTGATGTGATGTGATGTGACATATTCTCCTCCCCCCTAAAGTAGATGCTACTTACTACATGGCCAGATTAATGGTGTTTTTTTTCCTCCAGTGGGAAGTTTGTTGAACTTACAGCCCTTTTCTCTCAGTTTTCTCCGTGTCTGGTTCGATGTCACCACTTTCGTGAAGCACATTTGTAGTCCTAGACTTATTTTCACACAAAACCTAAAATATCGTTTCCCCCTGTTTGAAAATAAGCACGTTCTTGGTATCAAAACGTGTCTAAAATTCACGAACATCATATGTGAAATCCAAGGTACATAAGCAGAATTAGAAAATAGTGTTTTTAGCCCCATTAACATGCATTCATTTTTTCGTTCTTCCAGGGACCCATGATGCGGAAGTAGATGGGCGTGACTTAGGCTCCATATACTTTTGAGTGACGATCAAAAGTATTAAATAGCAAAATGGAAAATGAAGTTATTTTAGCAAGATAACTTTTAAGAGAACTTTGAGCTTAATCTGAATGTTACACTGAAAACCAACCAGCTCAAACACGCAAATTAAAACACAAAAAAATTACACTTTCTGCATTTTGAAAAAAATTTACATCAAATTTAATATTTAATTTAGAAAAGAACATGTCACATGGTGTATGTGTTAATTTTCTGAACAGCAGCCTGCCTCATAAAAGTTCTGACAAGGGCAACATCTGGTCAAATATCCTATGTGATATTAAGAAAAGATAAAGAGACCCAATAGTTCAACTATTTCAGAATCTCCTTTCTAAATATAATTGAAAAATTTGGAGCTGTTATGATCTTTTTATTTAAAATTAACTTTGAAAGTTAAAATGGAAGCAAAACACAAGGCCGATTTTCTACAAGTTATTTTACACAAGACATATAAAACATCTGACGTCAGACAATCAGAAACAAATGTTCAGTGTGGTGAAAACACAAATAAATAATGAAATATGTAACATAAACAATATGTGGCATTAGTAAAGGTTTTACTAATATTTTTGTAAATACACTTTCAGAAAAGGATTCATAAAAATCATGAAAAACCCGGGTGTATGACTTGTGTTTATGTGCATAATTCTGCCAATTATTTAGTGCAGATTCTACTAAAAAACGACAACAAAATGAAATAAAAATGGGATGTAAGACTAGATGAGATCACTTTGTTTCCTTGATTGTCTCAGTGGTTGACATTTTTTAGTGTTCTGAAGTTCTAGTGTGGGTAACTTGAGGTTATGTGTCACGGATGCAGAAATTAAAGAGGTAATGTGACTTTCTGGAACAAGTCAAAACTTCTGGGATGATTCTGAGACTGGATCCACTTAGCAAAGCCTCAATAAGTCAATTTGCTCTTGTTCAAACATGGGAATGAGGTGTTTACCTGGTGCCTACTCGTCGGCCAGGACACTCTTGAAAACGAGATGAGCTCGTCTCAAGATGGACTCCTGGTCAAATAATTTTTAGATAAATAAAGGATAATGTCAAATGTGCAACATGTTACTGTTATCAAAGCATGGTTACCTTTGATTTTTTTTCTTTTTCTTTAAGAGCAAGACAAGCATGTAACCAAATGCAGTCAGTATGTAGAAATGATACAACCAGAACTGATCACATGACAAAATATCTTCCATCGTATGAGACAAAACCCCTTTCATGTTTAGTCTCTGAGAGATGTCAGAGGGCACAACTTTCACTGTCCAAAGCAGTAATGGTGCGAGTCTAACTCAGCGTACAGTTCTTACGAAAATGGTAGATGCAGATTAGAGGTGTTGACGTCAAAGGGCACAATGAACAAAACCTCAGGCTTCTCTTAGGGACATGCATTTGATACTTCCTCAAAATGTCATTATTCTGAAAAAAATGTAACATTTTCTCTTTTAGAGAAATAGTTCTTATCTTTTAAAAAGGATTTATTTCAGAAAGTTTAACATTTTTAATGTTACCAGTTGAACAACCTCACTTTGGAGAAATCATGTTTAATGGTCATTGGATTGACAAGCTAAAGGCTAGACAGAATAACCAAATTGGAATAATTCTGTCTTAAAGGAGCTCCTTTAAAATTCATGGTTTCACATCAATGTTGACCTTCACCTCTGTATTTATTTCACATGACACTTACACTAGATTCTGCAATAACAGAAATCAACAATTTATTTTGGAAAAACAATCGTCACAGATGGTGGTGTAGATGTTGATAAAATTGTTTTCATAAGAATAGTTGTGAACTGTTTGAGTCAAAGGCTTGTGTAAAGCAACAACATTCTACTTTAGCTTTTGTACCACTTCGACTAGCTGTTAGCTTCTCCATCTCTTCCAAGCTTATCTGTATTTCTCCAAACTGAGGCCATTCAAAGAGCTACAGGTAAGATCTCAGCTGATCATGAGCTTACCACAGAAAACAGTTTTAAAAGATCTGATCTATCACTAGAAGTTTTGTTCATAAGCAGCTAAATTACAACTCATCTAGGTTGTGTTTTGTGAATGTTTTGGTTTATGAAAGATTTTCTGATGAATTTTCTCACATACTCTGCTTTAATTTCCTTATAATAAAGATAATATCACTGAGCTTTTCCAAGAAGTTCATATGGGGTCCTCCAAACTGTGACATCCATATAGTGCTGTAAAAAGACTTAGACCGTACAGACTGGATCAGTTATTACATTTTTATCATACTTAAATATTTCAGATCAGCCATTTCAAATCATTATTTCAATTATGAAGGGAAAATTGACTCAACAGGTTGTAACTCTCTTGATATTTGTGACAACTTGGAATGGGGAGTGTTGCTCCACTGGTCTCTACAGGCACGCTTTAATTAGGTCACACTGGAGGGTTTTCCAACACAAACGGCCTGTTTAGGGTCAAAGGTCAGACATTTTCCTTCAGGATTCTTTAGTAGAGAGCAGAAATTATGGCTCCATCAATTAAAGCAAGTAGTCTAGACTCTGAAGCAGCAAAGCAGCCCTAACCATTGCACTATCACCTCCATGTTTGACTGGTATTATGACATTGTTTTTCTGAAACACACTGTTACTTTTACACCAGATGTACCTGGACACACACCTTCAATAAAGGTCCACTTTTGTCTCGTCAGTCCACAGAATATTTCATCCAAATTCTTCGGGATCACCAATATGACTTTTTGCAAATGTGAAGCCTTTTTAAACTTTTTCTGTTTCCTTGGAACTTTCCCATGAGGCTTTTTAGTCGTCCTCCTGTCTTTTCTCTTTTGTAAAATCCAGGAATTGGATGTTAAAGTGAACCATGGATCTTCAGGTGTTCTTTTGTCGTTAGAGTTCTTTATAACAATATGTAACGTGTTGCTTTTTCAGATCTTTTAGTCTTTTTCTTGTGATCAGAAAAGTTCTATTAGAATGATTTCTAACCCTACAGGTCTGTCAGTAGTCAAACCTGGGTGTGACGTGTGAAGGCCAACTAGTGAACCCAGAACTCCCAAAAATGTGGTAAATCACAGTTCATGAGGGGAAGCTAATTTCTCATGTGAGCAAAATTAGTTTAGAAAGCTTACAAAGAATCAAGTTTTAAATTTGTTGGCTGATCTGAAACATTTAGGTTGTTAAAAAGCCAAAATGTTTTGACTGCTCTGTATGCTGTGGATTCCTGATGTAATCATTTAGTATTTTAGCTACTTTTGTGTCACAAAGTTTATTGCAAACACCGTTATCCCTGAGTTTAGCAGATTTTTACAAATATAACTCCAGGACATATAAAACACCAATGAGTGACGTCAATTATTGTTTTTCTTTTAAACTCTCATTAAAATGGTTCTGGTCAATATTTTACTGGGAAAAAAGCACTGACTCCTTTTTTTAAATGAGAAGACTTAACTTCTATTAACAAGCTGCTCGAGTTTTATATGAAATACAGTAAACTTTAATATTAAAGGTTTTACTTATTTTATTTATTTTACCTTAATAGTCTTCATAGGTTTCAGATTGGCCTTTGTTTATTTTTTGTTCTGACAGATTTGGGATGAAGATGAGGTATCTGAGGCTTTTTGAGAGTAACTAACAGAATTACTCAAATTGAGGTAATCTTATTATTATTATGACCTGTGACATCAGTAATCCTTGTTATACACTTACGGCACAATGTTTAGTCCAGCTTAAACATGACTTGGCTGAGAAGAAGCTGAACAATGTGCCAAACGTTCACTTTAGAGCCAGAATAGATTGATCTGATTTACAGGAAGGAGCGAGTGATCCCTTTTTAACTGTAAAATATCTGTGTGGATCTAAATTAAGATCACTTAGTTTATCATCTGTTTAGTCATGAAAAACTGTTTCTGTTGATGTAAACTGATCAGGGTTGATTTGGTCCCTGCTGCTTCTCTGTGTTTAAAACGTCTAATATGGGGCGGGGTGCTGCTCATACCCAGGAGTGCAGATGAGTTTAAAGAGGGCCACACACACATGCATGTGAGGTTAGCTTTCACCCACTCGCTGGCTTCCAGTGGGGAGGGGTCAACACAAAACCAAAAGGAAGGCCAACCTGACTCCCTCCCGGACAGCGACATGCATCGCCTTTCAATTAATCCAACTACAACATTTTACAGTGCTTCTTCAGAAGGATTAATGATCGAAACAACAAAATTGTCCGTAATGTAATTTTAGACAAAAAAGACAAAAGCAAAATGCACACAGGTCATGCAACACAAGATGGCACACAATGTTTTTATGAGGAAAAAGGGGTAAACAAAGTCTGATAAAGACAAGACAACAAGGCATGATGACAAGCAAGTGAGTCCACCAAGTAAACAGGGCACAAGGTCAAGAGTCTTACCTATGCGGTCCAATCGGTCGATGGCGACAGTTTCGAAAGCTCGTCGCATCATGGGGTACTCCTCTAGCACCTCATTAAAATGGTCAACAGAGAGTGAGAAGAGTCGACAATAAGTGTCTGCACGCACGCTCGCCGTTCGCCTGCCCTTGGTGAGCAGACAGATCTCTGAATGTCAGGAAGACAGGGAGACAAAAAGGAAAGCGTGTAAAGAAACAGGAACAGGAGCGGGATAAACAAAAGCAATCATGGCTGTAATTACTGTACACATTATCATATAGATGAAGTGTGAGAAGAGAGAGGTTAGAGAGCAGAAGAGATGATAAGAATGTAAATAAAACCAGAAACCTAGAAGCTGAACAGTCACATATATTGTGCTAAAATAATTCATCATCCTGCAGAAGGCTAATAGTCTCATAATGTGATTCAGTATTCAGCTTCAGTGTCAGGCTTCAGCGCACTGCATCAATTCTGAAATGTAATGAGTATGTAAAGAGGGGTCTGACTTCACAGCATCTGCATGATCCTGTTTCTGACATCGTGACATATGAAGACAGCGGTGCAGAAATGCGTTAGCAACAGATTCACTTTGTAGCCCCAGTGGTACCCGGGAGCCATATGCATGGATCAAAAACTGTATTTAGGCCCCACACTCTCCTCATTCTGAAGTTAAATTGGATAAATTAGAAAGAAAAGGGGATTCTGCTGAAAAATCGGAACAATTAAATACATTTTGTAGCTCTATGAAAAACCTTAGTTTATAGGAAAGGTGATTAGCGCCGACTAAATAGTGGCGCTAGCACTGAAACCAGTGTTAATTCTGTTGACAAAATGTTTTTGTTATTTTTTGAGAAATATTAATTTTTGTGAACTAAAACAAAAAGAAAACAAACACGCCAATAAAGACTGAATTATGACGAATACTGTTAGACATTTTCGTTGACGAAAGAGACAATGAAAATTGACAAAAACAAAAATCCAATGAGAAAACTGAAAAGATGGGTGACCGAAAAAAAGAACATACCAACAAATGGAACAGGCGGGTCTAGGCACATAATTCCTAAAACCAAACACTAAGAGAAAATGAATGGACGGGAATTTTTCAAGTTTGGAGTGCTTAGATAGCTAGACTGGCCTGCCAGACTCCTTCTCTGTTTAATTCTGCACAGAGAAAGGGTCTGGGAACTCTCCTATTCAAATAACCCCACCCCCTGAGAATTTTAAATGAGCCAATCAGCGCTAAGCAGCGTACGTCTGGTTACTCAAAGGCAGAGAGTCACATGAGGGGTGGGACTAGCCAGCTCAAAAATAACCAATCAGAAAAAATATGGAAATGCCGGCTGTAGCTTTTTAGCTGTAGCAAAAAAATGGTGTCTGGCAACGGCGCAAACATCTTTTTATTTTTTTGAGAAGAAAGGCTTTTAATGCATCTACTTGTTGTTATTTTAAAGACATTCAAGTCACTTAGAACAGAGGAAAGAGCCGCAGCGAACTCTACTTCAGTCACCATGTTTATGACAAAATCGGCATTGTGGTGTGTGACGTACGCTACTCAGCGCTGATTGGCTCGGTTAGAATTATCAGGGGGTGGGGTTATTTGAATAGGAGAGTTCCCAGACCCTTTCTCTGTGCAGAATTAAACAGAGGAGGAGTCTGGCAGGCCAGGACTGTATATTTTCTTTTTGCAACTCAAGGAAATAAACAATAATGAAAAATGACTTGCATTTGTATAGCGCCTTTCAGACCCAGATGACTCTAAAGCGCATTACACTACAGTGTATCATTCATCCATTCACACACTGATGGGGATGAGCTACATTGTAGCCACAGCTGCTCTGTGTGCCAAACTATACTATCTCAAAAATCTCACCTCAGATCTGTCAGATTTTGACATTTTGAGACAGAGAAGTAGCTGAAGAGTTTTATATATAATATGTGAATGGTATATGAAATAGGTTCATTTTGTCTTTGTGATGAACTAATACTACTTCTTTTTTAACAGGACAAATGTTGACGTTTTCTGTGTATGGTATGTTAAAGTGTCATTAAAAGACTGAAAACCGATACAGATTTTTCCAATATTAAATGTAACGCAGACATTGGCTGATATTAATGTTAGACCAATAATATTGATCATCCCTACTTAAAGCCTGCAAAAAGAAGTATTGATGTGCAGGTGTAATAACACACTTCACCATGAACATTAAGGAGAAACATGCACCCATTAAAGCTTCAGAAAATATATGAATTTACACAGCTTTGTACATTTGACATTTACAGTAGCCAAAACAAGACTGCAGAGTCGTATCCATTCATTATTCCCTTCCTCTAGCATAACCTCTCATTAATCTAGCATTACGCAGCACTGCATAACCTTCTATTACATTTTCACTTGCATGCAGGCCGCTCCATCACTTCCTTGCATGGTTAAATGTTAACTTGTTGTTGTGTGATCTTAGGCTCTGCCATGAGCTGCCACGAAAACAGAACGCACAATGTGCAGGATGCGCGTGCGACACTCAAGCTGTGGGTGTGAAGAAGGTGTTAGTGCTGCTGTAATGGAAAAGCACCTTTCACTGTGAATGGAGCCTCTGTTAACAAAAAAAGAACCAAAGAAAAAGGAGACGGTGATAGAAAAGAGCTCCGTGTTGCATGTTCTATCAGACAGGAGGCAACAGAAAGACAGTGTGTGTTTGTTAGGAGCTATGCTGTTCTGCTACAAAGCTTGGAAGATGCAACGTCCAGCTGTCAACTAGTCAGTTCAGGTCTAAAATGGGAGGACAATAGCAGTCGGGCTAGCCTGGCAAGCCAGACTAAATAAATGTATTATTTAGTCTGGCAACGCTCCATTGACGGCTCTCGGTTGTGGGGCGGGTTCTACCGTTGTCTTTCAAATGATCTCCGCATTCCACTGGACAATGAATGTGACATACTCTTGTTTCACTCTGTTGCATCATCCCACCCACCAGGCATATAGAGTGCCCTGATTGGCCCACAAAGCGGATAAAGCTCTGTGATTTGTTCACTAAGCAGATAGAGCACTGTGATTGGCCCACCATTAAGGTTGGCAGCGCCGGCGCTCCGCACACGCACACCACGCACAGCGCGTAGGGCACCACGCCGGGGGAGGGGCACCAAACGCAAGCTTATGAAAAAAATAATATATATATGATGAAGACAGATTTCAATTAGAAGATGTGCAAAGCAAGTTAACAGCATGTTTACAGAGAGAAAACAACACAAAACGGAAAGGAGATGAACCGTGTCGCACCGTCACCCCCCACCCCCACCCCCACCCCCCCACCCCCCCGCGTGGAGGATGCAGCGCAGCGGGCACAGTCATGGCTCCGAAAAGGCTGCAGGAGTCCGGGGCAGTAAATAGACAAAAGAAGCAACAGCGGGATGATGCTGTTGCTTCGATTGCAGGTAAGACAAGTATTTAAATGGAAATTCTTAATTTTTTTTAATCTATTCCTAATTCTAAATTCTAAACACGTGTGGTCAAGTTCAGAGGGTCGTTTGACCTAGCTTAAATTCAGACTTGTTACTGCTGTTAATTAATCTGTTCATGGTCAAATTTTGCCTAGTTTGGTATAAGCATGCTGCTTTTCAGGACTTTTATTTGGTGTTTTTCGTTCTCTGCTTCCGTACATTTAACATTTTGACTCTATCTGCGTGGTTTGGGCAGATTTTGTTCTCTGCTTCTCCAGTCTGTTAAAAGTATAATGCGCCACTCTGTCCCGCAGCCTCCCGTCCACCTACCGGGCGTTCGTTAGTAGCTAAGTGAGAGAGGCTGAGAGGGAGAGAAACTCAGAGAAGCTTTAGAGCTTTTTTACTGCTGGAGAAAAACAACGTAGCAAGTCATCATCTTCCTAAATGCAGTTATTCTCTTCTGAATCAGCACTTCTTTAAAGAAGAAATAGTTAAATGCAACAAAGGGGCTTTTATTCAGCCTGTTCGTGCGATTAAAAAATAAGTCTGAACAGTGTTAAAGGTTGTTCATCTAAAAATAGACCTTGAAGAGTTTGAAGATTTTTTTGTTTTAATAAGTTCATCTTAAAACATCTTTCTCAAGTAAAATAAAGTTTCCTCTGTGAGGTCAGATAGGCCATCTGTGCTGTTTTGAAACAGAAATAAACAAATGAATCATATTTGTCCACCCAAATACTTAAATATCACAAAAACAGGAAGGACAAAAACACCGTCAAGGTAAAGTAAGACATTTTATTTTTAAATAAGCGGCTGTTTGTGATTAATCATGAGTTAACTATGGACATGATTTATATCATTATTAAATAGCCTATGTGGCCTATAGGCTATGTAACTGAGATTTAACATGAAAAATTAGATAAACCTATTTTCTAATTAGGTATTTGCTCTATGTTGATATATATTTCATAAACATTTACGGGCCAAGAGGAACATCAGCTGCTGATGGTATAATTTGAAGAAAAAAGTCCATTGTGCTAACCTCCTCCCTTCATATTCAGAATTTTCTAGTTGTGTATAAAATGTGTACATTGTGCCTCTCTAGTCCTTAATAAAGGTTAAATAGTTTTGAATTTAGTCATATCACATGCCAGTGATTTATAATATAAACCTATAAATAATCTATTGCAGTTTTTTTTACCATGGTTTAAAACTTTTATCTTATTATAGAATGAATATGACAAATTATCTTTTGTGTTTGAATGCAGGCTCAATGAACAAGTACATTCAAGGAGGGGCTCAAGCCAAAAGTTCAGATCAGCCATCCACCAGCAGTTCAAGAGCCATCACGTCTGAACCTTCTACAACATCACCCAGCCCTGACCAGGAATTATAAAGTAAAGCACACCTACAGACCGAGCACAGCCCACAGCCAGCACTTCTGAAGGCAGAGTGAGTCCTGGATCTGAAAAAGCATCTGAAAATTACATTGGAGAAACACATGTGCCACAACCGGTGCTTGTGGTGTGTGGATCTGTTACATAGTTCTAAATAATAACAATATGAAGTTCCTGTGTTGAGTATGTTATATTATGTAAATATCAGTCCTACTTTTTGTAAATAATAAGCAGTTTGTGCATACAAGAGAATTAAAGATAATTTAAGGCGAAGTGCTTGCAAATACTGTGTTATTGTGTTGTTTTTTCTGCGGGGTGGGTGGGGGTGGGGGGGCACCACGA